ACTGGGACCACCTTGACTGATTTGTGCCAGAGTCTTTGCAGTTCAGTCTTTAAATTCTCATACTGCTGTTGTTGTTGTTGTTATTATTAATACCCCGCTTTATTTCCCCCAAAGGGAAGTCAGAGAGGCTTGACATAAAAGCATTAGTATACAATTTAAAATATACAAATATTCAAACATTAAAATAGAATGAAACACAAACAGAACTTGGAGCAGTGGGTTCAAATTACAGGAAGGAGATTTCACCTGAACATTAGGGACCTCATCACATTATAGATTGAATCCACTTTAAATCCAGTTTCTGCCTCCTGCAGAATTTTGGGGTTTGTAGTTTAGGAAGGAGCCTTTTACAGCCTCACTGGATTTAACGTGGATACGTTCTCTAGTGTGATGAAGTAGTAGGAAGAACTTCCTGACTAAGAGCTGTTCAACAGTGGAACTCTCTGTCTCAGAGTGTAGTGGAAGCTCCTTCCTTGGAGGCGTTGAAACAGAGGCCGGTTGGCCATCTGTCAGGGGTGCTTTGATTGTGCTTTTCCTTTATGACAGGGGATTGAACTGGGTGCCTGTGTGGTCTCTTCTAACTCTATGATTTCATGATTCTTATTTATTTATTTATTTATTTATTTACTTTGCTTATATACCGCTGTATCTCAAGCCCGAAGGCGACTCACGGCGGTTCACAAACAGTAAAAACAGTAGAAACAGCAGTGGTTCCATACAACATATAACAATTGACTTAACACATTAAAGCACCATTTTGAAATGCTAAGTTTTCTAAGGAAGTGATGCCCCCCCCCCCCTTTCAGATTCACATATTTTTGTTGCCAGGAGTGACAGTTTAATTTTTTAAAACGTATGTACATTTTGCCTGATTGTTGTTCTTAATGATGAGTCGATTTGCTTTTTAATAATCTTAACTGCATAGTGGAAAACAATAACTTTTGTGGAATTAACAGTGGAAATATTTGAACTCTCTTGACCATTATTTTAAACTGACTCTCAATTATGAAAGAAAGGCATGTTAAAACATGGATTGTTTCGAATTGTTGATTTCATTAACGACCTAAACATTACATTGGCAAAGTAGATAAGACATGGCAGTTGGTACTTAAATATGTAAGCTGAGCTATTAAAGTGGGTAATATTTGAAGGACAGGGTGTAAATATTGCAACAAGTCTGTCATGCATTTTATTGTGCTTGCACATGTAAAGGTAAGATTATTTGGTTAGGCAAATGGGACCTGCAGTGAAATGTTGTTATGTGAAGTACTCTGTTGTATTGTTCTCAGCCAGACATATTCTCCATACATAATTCTGTGATGCTTCATTAACATTTGCTGATTGTAGCCAGTTAGATGTTTAATTACTATGGGAGCAAGCTCTTGTTAGTTCAGACAAGAAATTGCAGAAAGTGCTAGTTTCCCTCGAACTGTCAGAAGCCTTGACTAGTATACAATACTGCTCTGTCAACATGGTGCTGGTTCAGCAGCATCCTTGCATGCACAGACTTGGCAAGTATTTAAATGTCACATTTTGTGTAATTGGTTCAGTCTATGAATAGGATCCTCTTCTTTGTGTTAAAGGGTGTACACGACAGTCCAGCTTTTGTGCTGACATTCCCTTGCTTTTGTTTCTTCCCTGCCAGGGTGCATTTGTGGAGGTGTTGTTGTTAAGGCTCCTGAAAGGACAATATAACACTCTGTAATTGGTTTAGGCAAGTGTGATGTGGAAATAATCTTTTTACAGATTTTACAAATACTTTTTGTATAGTAATATGCAAGAGCGTAGAAAATGTTAATTCACATAGGAAGAAAATCACAGGATATTCATAAATTTTATGGATTTTTTTCTTTCCATTTTGTGGAACCTCTGGCTTAAAAGATGTTAAAATTCTTCAAATAAATTGATTTGCTTTTTATTCTGCATCTTTTAGACATCTTTAGTATCTGAGATAGTAATATGCAAGGTTGAATTTGGGAAGAGATATTATTTCCATCAATAAGGAAGGATAATCTCTGTTTTTATGCTATCTGAAAGCCTTGTGTTGCATCACATGTTGTCCTATAGCAGAGATGGGCAATCTTTTGAGCGTGATGTGTCAAAATTCACCAAAAAACCGAGCATAATTCCGGTGATGTGTCACTTCAAAAAAATTAATAATTTTGCAATATTTAGTTTAAATAACAATATATATATAATTGTAATATATAACTATATTTAATAAACCAAAAACTAATGATATAATTTACCTGATTTGGTATGCCCAGACCACCAAGAACTTGCCACAATTTATTATGATTCACACAGTCAAGGGCTTTAGAATAGTCAATGAAGCAGAAATAGGTGTTTTTCTGAAACTCCCGTCCTTTCTCCATTATCCAGCATCCGGATATTGGCCATTTGATCTCTCGTTCCTCTGCCTTTTCTGAACCCAGCTTGTCCATCTGGCAACTCTCTCTCCATGTCTTGCTGGAGTGGGGTTAGGCTTTCGGATATCTATATCTATTCCCTCAACCCCTGAGGGTGCCTTTAGCCACAGATGTGGGTGAAATGTCAGGAGAGCATGCTTCTGGAGCAGGGCCAGGCAGCCCTATGGAACGCTCGCCGAAGCCTCTCCGCTTGCAGCCTCGACTCGGCCTGCTTTGGCAGCAAAAGGCCGAGGAGTCTCCCAAAGCCCAGTGCGGCCTCAAAACCCAAGGCTGGCCAGATGCCTCAGGCTGGCCAAGGGGAGGGAGGCCTGGCTTCGGGACGGCTCTTGGCCTTGCCCCCCTCCTTCTCCTCCTGGAGGTGCTTCCTCCCGAGGCTGGATCCCTCCCTCGCTCCCGCTCACCTTGAGGAGGGAGCCCATCAGCCTGCTTTCTCCTCAGCCACTCTTCCACATCCATTGTGGGCACGAGGCATTTTGGGCACAGAAGCCCCAAAGGCCTGGGGGGCCGAAGGCGGGGGCACCGCAGCAGCAGCCGGTCTCCTCGCTGCCCCCTTTGGCAGCAGCCACCACTCGGCCAAGGGCCAAGCTGGAGGGAGGGAAGACGAGGGAAGGAAGGAAGGAGGAAGGAAAAGGTATTTCAGGTGAGGGAGAAGTGGAGGGGTGGGGTGGATGAGCGGGCGCGTGTCAGTAGAAATGGCTACGCATGTCAGTACTGACACGCGTGTCATAGGTTCGCCATCATGGTCCTATAGGGTCGCTTGACTTCAGCAACCTTTTTTCAGAACATGCAAGAGTCTGTAATGAGAAGCAGATGTGAAAAATTCAGTCACACATGCAAAATCTCTTATTTTCCCTGGAATCAAGCTACTAGAGGGAAAAAGGCTGTGACAGTTTAGTCTAAACAATACCTGCTTGTATATTAATGTATTTATGGATGTTAGCCAAATAAATGGTATACATTTATGTCTTGTATAATTTGGAAATCTTCCAACTGAATTACAGTAGCCATGAACAGCAGGGCTGCTGGTTAAACCTGTTGTTGCTGTCTGCTTGGGTATAGCAAAGAAGAGGGAGCTGCAGTATATGGTTGGTGACTCCCATCACATCTGAGATGAAAGGCAAAGCCATATCATTGGTTATGATGAGAGATCAGCCCCATTTGATCTCTTCCATCTCTCATTGTCACCTGGAATTTAGTCTCTATATCAGACTGCAGTGAAGAGGAACAGGGTACAGTTGCACTAACAGTGTTTTTGATAGATCAGGTCATTTTGGATCCATTTCTACCTGAATCAGAAAAAATGTAAAGACATGACTCTGTTTGCAGAATAAATTATTACGGTCTCAACATGGTCTGAATAAGGATTATGAGCAAGGATTATGGATGAATTGAATCATGCACTTTATGTCTTTAACCAGTTTTTATTCTATGTATTTTATATGCTTACTGTTTTAACTGTTTTTATTTTGTGGGATATGTTTTATAATTATGTTTAAGAAGCATTGAATTTTGCCAGAGTTGTAAGCCACCTTGAGTCCCCCCCTGCGAGAGTGAAAAAGGCAGAGTTTAAATGAAGCAAATAAATAAATTGGTTCCATACCTGCCAATTCTAATAACAATTAGATCTGAGCCCATTGAGGTCATTTTTCCCCCCAAAGACCCCACAAAACCTAGACTTGGCACTGATTTTCTAGATGAAATTGGTAGCAGTATGTTCTCAAAACCAGCACTAATTGGAACTTCCTACGCAGGGGCGGTTACCTTTATAGCATATTTTCTTCTCAAACTGTTTTTCTTCTCAGTTGAGGGGATTTTCATTGGAACTGTGCTAGGGAAAGGATTAAATCCCTTCATACTATGATCCAAATCTTGCTTTTTCAATATCAGATATTTACATTTCAAAAATGCTTTCATATATTTAACACGTATAGATCAACCACCAGATAATGTTTGCAGACAGTGCTTTAGCTCTGCTACAGTTGTTTGATATATTTCTTTTGTTCTATTAGACTTGTTGCAAGATTTATTTTTGTTGATTTTATTATATGTGCTTTGTGCATTTTGAGTAAAAAAGAATAATTAATAGTAATATTAAGTAAGTACAGGAAAAAGAACTGTTTTAAAGATGTGTTTAGGGAATACAGCAGTTAAGGAAATAGGAGCAGCTTAGTACATCAACTTTCTTGAAGTTACAGCTCCAAACTCAGAATGTTGCAATTCCATGTTGGAAAAGCTTTGTTTATGAAATTGGGACTTTCATGATGTTTCCGTCTGCAGCTCACTGTGCTCCAAAAGGTCTGTTGTCCTTAGGGTTGGACAACCTCTGTAACAGGATGGCATGTGATAGGGAAATTGCAGCAGTAAAAAGACACAGATGTGCAATCTGTTTGCATGCTACAACCTGCATTTTCATGGTGGTTTACAACAGTGGACCTGGAGAAAACTCTGGATAAAGTAGTTACTATGTATACATGTTCTGGTTTTCATTTTGGGTGGGATTTTAGGGGGGGGGGCTTTATATCACTGTGTGCATTGCATTAATTGATTGTTCCATCTTTGTCTTTATTTCAGTGTACTGAAATTATCGACCTCTTTCTGGGCATGTGTGGAAAAATGACTGCTTGTTAAAATGGATGGACTGAGGCTCCTAAGAAGTCGGAATTGATTGAACGAAACTGGTTCTTAGACAAATAGCATCAGTAGGCCATTTACTACTACATTAAATGATCACAACTGGGATCTCATGCAACCTTTGTATTTTCTGGAGAACCTTCTCCAGAAGAGTGTTATAAATTTTAAAGGCAGAGATGACTGCGTTTTCTTTTGGAGCTTATTAAGGATAAATACGTTTTCCAATAATGACCAGCTTGAAGCGGTCCCAGACTGAAAGGGCTGTTGCCACGGGAGTATCAGATGGAACTCCTAAAGTTCACTCAGATGACTTTTACATGAGACGCTTTAGGTCACAGAATGGTAGTTTGGGATCTTCAGTGATGGCTCCAGTAGGCCCTGCACGTAGTGAAGGGTCTCATCATCTTACTTCTACTCCTGGAGTTCCTAAAATGGGAGTTAGAGCAAGGATTGCAGACTGGCCTCCAAGGAAGGAAAACATCAAAGAAAACAATAGATCAAGTCAAGATATGGATACATCAAGCTGCCTTGATAGCATGTCTTCAAAAAGTAGTCCTGGGAGTCAGGGAAGCTCCATTAATTTGAATGCCAGTGACTCTGCCATGTTGAAAAGTATCCAGAACACACTTAAAAACAAAACAAGACAATCTGATAACCTAGATTCTAGGTTTCTTACACCTGATGGTTACCACAGCTCCCCAAGGAAAGCTCTTCGTAGAATAAGACAGCGTAGTAATAGTGATATCACCTTAAGTGAGCTTGACGTTGATAGCTTTGATGAATGTATCTCACCCAGTTATAAATCTGGACCATCACTGCACAGAGAATATGGCAGCACCTCATCAATAGATAAGCAGGGTACTTCGGGTGACAGCTTTTTTGACCTATTAAAAGATTATAAAGATGAAAAATCTGACCAGAGGATCCTAGGCAGCAGCAAATTCAGTGAAATCCTTATAGCAAGTGGAAGTAAGGGTTCGGGGTTTTCCTTAGATGTGATTGATGGACCTATTACTCAGAGGGAGAACCTCCGATTATTTAAAGAAAGGGAGAAACCACTGAAAAGGCGTTCAAAATCAGAAACTGGAGATTCTTCCATTTTTCGAAAGCTCCGTAATGCCAAAGCTGAAGGGGAACTCGGGAAATCTTCTGACCTTGAGGATGGAAGATCAGAAGATAGCATCAAGCCTTGGATTTGCCCAAAGTGTTTTGCCCATTATGATGTACAAAGTATATTATTTGATTTAAATGAGGTGGCAGTTAACAGGCACAATGTTATTAAACGAAGGAATACAACAACCGGAGCTTCTGCTGCTGCAGTTGCATCCTTAGCTTCTGGACCATTATCCCATTCTGCAAGTTTTAATTCACCAATGGGCAGCACAGAAGACCTGAATTCCAAAGGGAGTCTCAATATGGACCAGGGAGATGATAAAAGTAATGATCTTGTGATGAGTTGTCCCTATTTTCGTAATGAAATTGGTGGAGAAGGAGAAAGGAAGATCAGCCTCACCAAATCTAACTCTGGATCCTTCAGTGGCTGCGAAAGTGCCTCTTTTGAGTCTACTCTTAGCTCTCATTGCACAAATGCTGGGGTCGCTGTACTTGAAATACCGAAGGAAAATCTGATGTTACACTTGGACAGAGGGAAAAGATACATTGTTGAACATGTGGATCTTGGTGCATATTATTTTCGGAAATTCTTTTATCAAAAAGGTGAGTGGCCGTTTATTAATTAAGACAACTGTTCTTTGCTTTAAACTGAAAATTCTGAAAATACTGTTCTGTTGCAAAATTATTCCCTTTGCATTAAAACATATACAAAACATTTTAAATAGCATATATAGGCTGAGCATCCCTTGCCTGGAATTCCAAAGTCCAAAATACTCCAAAATCTGAACCTGTCCAAATGGGTGGGTGAGATAGTGTCACTTTTGCTTTCTGGTGGTTCAGTATACACAAACCTTATTTCATGCACAACATTGTTAAAAGCATTGTATAAAATTACCTTCAGACTATGCATGTGTATTTAGACTTAGGTCCTATCTTCCAGATATCTCATTATGTAGGTAATTCAAAATCTGAAAAAAAAATCCAAAATAGTTCTGGTTCCAAGCATTTTGCACAAGAGGTACTCAACCTTTTTCCTAACAAAGCTTTGTAACTTGTATGGACAACAGAGCATGCCAAAAGGAAAAGATTACAGAAGCGTACTGCAGATATTTTAAAATATTTGGAAAGTAATGGAAACATACAACATTTTTATATGACGGCAAATTATGAGAAGAGTTTGAAAGTTGTCGAAGGATTTCATGGCTTGAATCACTGGGTTGTTGTAGGTTTTTTGGGCTATATGGCCATGTTCTAGAAGCATTCTCTCCTGACGTTTCACCTTCACCTGCAACCTCTGAGGATGCTTGCCATAGATGCAGGCAAGACGTTAGGAGAGAATGCTTCTAGAACATGGCCATATAGCCTGAAAATCCTACAACAACCCAGTTAAGTTTCCCCCCCCCCCCCCTACTATTTTGTTAACTGCAGCTCCCTGTTTTATACGAACTAAGATAAGCATTAACCAAGATTTGTTAACAAACAAGCTTCAGAAAATATAAATGGTTGTAATCCATTGCCAGGATCGCACTACAAATTACAGTGAATTAAAAGCAGATGCTTCCAGACTTGTACTTAAATGGAAGAAGAGAATTATGCTTGTTCATATTTTGCTGACTATGGTTTGATGTGTTAACTAGAGAGCAACCATAAGAAAAGAAATTGTTTTTATGAAAGAATCTTGAATGTTGTGTGTATGTACACATACACAGTTTTTAAGAGTTATAAATATCAATTTTAGAGCAGTTTTTCTATTTTTTTCTAAGTCAAAAGTAGGTTGGAATAATGTGCATTACACCTCAAATTTGATTTTGTGTAAAGTTCTTGCGATGATATATGTGAATCATGTTTAACAACTGCCAGGAGCTGGAATTACAGTATTTAGCATAAGTATCACCAATAATTATAGAAATGCTATCCAACTGTATCTCGGATAGTCTTCTTTACATGTCACATTTATGTCTATGAACCTACTTTGATGGATATTTGGGATTTGTTTACATAAAGAAAAAATGCCTCATGTGAACTAGCTCTAAAGACTTTGTCTAATATTAATATCTCTCTCTTCCACTCTCTTTACTTACTTAACACATAAGAACACTGGAACTACTTTGGGGCAGATGAAAACCTTGGTCCTGTAGCTGTGAGTATTAGAAGGGAAAAACCTGAAGAAATAAAAGAAAATGGTTCTCAGTACAACTATCGCATCATTTTCAGAACTAGTGAGGTAAGCAACGTATAGCCAATATCAAAATAAAAATTCAATGTATATATTATACATGCTGTCTACAGATATTAATTGAATTAAGGAAGATTTTTCATATCTTTTTGCTTTATAGTGCCCAATTTCTTTAATATCCTATAAGGCACCATTAAGTTAATATTCAAATAATTTCAGTAATTGTGCTAACAACTATTCCACATTTCCAACATTTTTATTCATTAGCCCTAATACTTAGATGTTTTCATTTTACAATATGTTTGGTTGATATTGTTATTCATTTAATAGTTTCATGTTGGAAGGAAGGCTGTGATGATTTGATTGTATTTTTTTTACACAGAATAGTTTTCTATTTATCTCATATTGAAAAAGAACACAAATCATTTTCTATTTTTTCCTTTCAGGAAAAAGAGTAGGGAGAATAAAAATGAGAAATAGCTGGCATATGGAGCTATTACCCATGAATATAAAGGTGGGGAAAAACTTTAGTCAGTGGAGATGAGGGTGGATATAAATCTGGCTATTGAAATTCCACGTTGAAGGCTAAAATTAAATGGTAGTATCTTTCAAAATTCTGATGATTCATTTGTTGCTTGAACCATAAACCATGTGTCAGTCTTCTTCCATTCATGTCAAATAATAAAGTAAATAATATGGAGATTATAGTTTTGATCCACATTATTGATGACTGTGAAGACTGAGCTCAGCTGTGAATCAATTTGACACTGACATTTTTCTCTCTCAAGGACATTTTGACAATAAAGATTAGAAAATGTTTCCTTTACAGTTTTCTCTTAAGGAAAAGTATGCAAATATCAAATTTTTATAATTGGTGCTGAAAAACAGATCAATCAATAATAGAGAAATCCTTATGGAAGACCAAAAACCTTCCCATTTTCAATTAGGGCATGACAAGCAATAATTTTTCTGTGACACACTGCTGGTAAACCGTTTGTCAAAAATAAGCAGTGATGTAAAGTGTTCCTTACAATTTTTATTAGTCCCAAGTTTTTGCATTAGTACAGAGTTTAACTATATTTTATTACTTCTACCTACTTTCCCTGTATACCTCTAGACCAGGCCTGCACAATCTGTGGCACTCCAGGTGTTTGGGACTCCAACTCTCTGAAACCCTGGCCAGCTTATCCAATGGTCAGGAACTCTGGGAGCTGGAGTCCAAAACTTCTAGATGGCCATAGATATTGCAGGCCTGCTCTAGAGAAATATCTTTAGCTTGGGCTAGAGAAATGCCTCACACCATCCCTTGTGATGACCATTCATTCTTTTAACTCTCATGATGTATGAGCCCACCTGGGCTCTGAGATCATCAGGAGTGGCCATCCAACAGTCCCTCATGGTGCAAGCAAGATTGGTGGGGACTTCAGAAACAATAGTTACAGCAACAAGAATATCTTTTTCATTTAAATATGATTTTTAGGAGTGTTCGTCTATAAAACTGTACCTGTCCAATAAAACATCTTATTTTTCTAAATCTATCTTCATAGTTATTAAGGGCTTTGAGGTTGCCTTCAACTTATTGCAATTATATGAATTTTAAGACCTCCAAAAGACCCTGTTTTTAACAGCCCTGCTCAGGTCTTGCAGACCCAGCCCCATGGCTTTTTTTGACTACCCATCTGCACTGGCCATTTAATCTGGGGTGAAACCAACATAAAAGGAAGTGGATTCACCGTGTTAACTATTGCATTGCAAGATCTGGAACTGGTTCGAGGGCAGGACAGTGCTTACATGCCTGCAGAGGATATTTTTGAAACAGTTCCGGTATCTGCAGCTCCATCTTGATGGCTGTGGAGAATGCATTCTTTTCAGCAACAAATCCCTCCCCCAAATGTGCATGTGTAGCTCTTCAGACAACAGTTCACATTCTGCGAGTTGCTTTCGCCATGTGATATGGTTTATACTGATGTGCATTAAGGGCTCTATTTCAGACTATTTTCTAACTTTGCTTGTGTTGGATTAAAACCCTTAAAGCAGTGGTTCTCAACCTGTGTGTCCCCAGGTGTTTTGGCCTACAATTCCCAGAAACCCCAGACAGTTTACCAGCTGTTAGGATTTCTGGGAGTTGAAGGTCAAAACATCTGGGGACCCACAGGTTGAGAACCACTGCCTTAAAGTGTGCTGCATAGTGCTTTCCCAGCATGTAATTTCAAGTTGACTTCAAGTTGCATTAATTGATCAGTATAGATGTGTCCTGAGTCACTCTGTTTTCCTCTATTCTTCATGTTTACCAAGCATTATTGTCTTTCTCCGTGAGGAAAGAGTTTGGCATTCATTTGTACATCTTCATACTTGAGGACTTTTATCAAGTTCATAGCTGCCCTTTCCAATTTTAATCTTCCTCTTTTTTCTTGAATAAAGTCTCCCATTTTGAGTGATGACGGAATCAAGGCACATTTAGCAAGTACTAAATCTGGTTTCTTCACATTTATGGCTCAAGGATCACCAGAAATGCACGCGCACACACAAAATGTGGATTTGTGCTTTGATTTGTAATTCTGTGTTGCCAGACAGGACTGCCCTGGTTGCCAAAACTGCATGAAGCTGTTGTTTTGTGTGTGCTTAAAAATTTGGAATGGAGACAGATAAATAAATCCTATTTCTTAACAGTACACATTATCCTAGGTTTTTGGAACTCTATGTTTTCACACCTTCTAAATGCATTGCTTTTTGGCTATTCTACTTGACATTTGCTCTTATGCTGCAATTTCCTTAGTCACTCTAAATCACACTTTGCTGACCATTTCAGACTTCAGCTTCATGCATCCATCTTGAAAACTGTTTAGCATACAAATCGGATATTATGTTTGCTAACTGAATGCTAGGTTAGGATGTAATGTTTGCTAACAGAGTACTAGACTCAAATATTGCAAAGATAATTTGTAATCTCATAAATCAGTTCTCGCTGATGTTTGAGCAGCTTCAAGTATCACAAGATTCCTCTACTGAGGAGAATGTAGCAGAAGTCATTTTTCTGTAAGCAGAATTGTTCTTGCGATACGCTCAGGTGCTGACTTTTCTGCTTACTCATGTTCAAAGAAACACATTCAACTTTTCATACTACTGTGCATGTGGAACATGAAGTAACCATCCCAGCAATCCTTTTGAAAAAGACTCTCTAGCTTGCAAAAAATCAAGCCCATACCTTTAAAAAGGATTGCACATTTCATCTTTCCAACTGTCAGCTTAAAGGCCAAAAAAAGCAAACAAAACCTGGCTGAAAATGTGTATGCAATAAAGGGAGCTTCTTTCTACCACTGCTAGTACTATTACGATTACTATTACTAGGAACAACTGGTATGGCCAGCCAAGGCTGTGAGCAATAACACACACACACACCCTCACACACAAAGCAGGACAGTGGGATGCTACCACTGTATATTATATTTTTCTTTGTTGCCACCAAATATTTAATAAGATTTCTTTTGCTACCACCTTCTATTGGTTCATAGGCCACCTCCTTGCCAGAATGTTAAAGAAGAAACACAAATTCTTCAGGTGATATGAAATAAGAATGTTTTTTATTTGGCTCTGGAACAGTAAAGATGCGTAATGGTTTCAATAAAATGTAAGGCTCAACTTTACAGAGAATGGTCTTTAACTTGAGTTACTTAAAAAGCAATGTTCCACACACAGGAATACAAACAGGTTATTCTGAACCTTTTGAATCCTTTTCTTCCATACCAGCCCCTTAACACTATAGAGGCCTAACTATTTTCCTCAAAGAGGTATCTTTTAACAACAGTTTATAAAATGCTTCCTTCCTTCCTTCCTTCCTTCCTTCCTTCCTTCCTTCCTTCCTTCCTTCCTTCCTTCCTTCCTTCTCCTTCAAAACTCCTAACCTAACCTTTTAAAACCACACTCCCAACAGAACATAATGGCTGCCTTAGCTTCTTCCTTTCCCTTTTTGGCTCTGCCCATCTCCATCTGCTAAGCAATTCCCTCCAATTTAATCAGCCAGTCAGGCTTCCCTTCCAGCTATGGAGCTGCCTGATCACTCCAATCCTTCTGCTCTCCTTAGCTTTTCCAAGCCAGCCTTATTTACCGCTTTTACACCAACCCTGTAAGGTTGGCCAATCCGTTACAGTGTCCAGTTTTGTTACCTTCAGATTTTAAAATAAATCACTCCAGAAAATTTGAAATGATGTCTAGATTCAAGCCCTCTAAGAAACTTCGTGGATACAGTTAAAGTATCCAATGCATGAAAGCAACAAGCCATTAAAAAATTTTTTAAAAGATGTCTCTTTTTCTTTTTTGTAAAAAGCATTTCTGTATCTCATCGAAACATTAGCTGTAAAGACAGTCAGCTTTTTTTATGTCTGTGGGCTTCCAAATCCTTTTTCAGCTATGCAGCCAAAATAGCTTGGGCCTAGTATATTATAAGGAATTATACTTTCCACGAGAATGCAGTTTTTTATCTTAAATCTCAGTCTACAGATAGGAGCCCCCGGTGGCGCAGTGCATTAAACCCCTGTGCCGGCAGGGGTTTCTGTGTATATTTTAGAATACATTTGTTTTTGTTTTTTAGCTTACAACATTAAGAGGTTCTGTCTTAGAAGATGCAATACCATCCACTGCAAAGCACTGCACAGCCAGAGGATTACCTTTGAAAGAAGTGCTTGAACATGTGGTCCCTGAACTAAACATACATTGCCTTAGGCTGGCCTTCAACACTCCTAAAGTCACAGAACAACTAATGAAATTAGATGAGCAAGGGGTAAGTGCTGTGTAATAAACATTACTTCTTTTATGGATTATCATTACATTAACAAATGTGTACAATACTTTTATTCGGTTTATGGGTTTCAAGGAATCTGTCATATATCTATTATTACTACAGTTATGTTATGAGATCTCATAAGTTAGATTTTGTTGCTTAACACATGTGTTTAGAAAGAAGAGTTTAAATATTTAAAAGTATGCTACATGGAAGCAAAGTATTATGTCCCACATATACATTTAAAAAAAAAAACAGCGACAGGTTATTTTTATTTATTGTATAATGTCATTTAAATCTAGTTGCTGTTCCTACTTAGAGTAGAAGCTTGAACATTACTGAACATGTTTAGTACTCACTTGTGAAAACCCCATTGATTCAACAATTCTACTTCTTATTGGGACCCAAAACTGGATGTAACTGATTCATCAGTTGGTTTTAAGATTGTATTTTTTATGTATCATCAGATGAAAAAAGATTCAGATTATAGACACTGAAGTTATACACAATATCTCCAAGTCTTGGTTCCAGATTTTTTAAGTAGCTATGTGCAACATATACTTCTTCATCATGGTCTCTGTGAAAATTGCACTGATGGGACTACCTGCACCTGCACAGTGTGCTTTGGAACCTACTAGCATGCTTTAGAAATCTTCTGGCAGCAGCCCTGCCCCCCCCCCCCAGGAGGCATATAATCAGTGGGAGGGGCTGAGGCATTAGTTCCTGAGATCCTCTCACATCACAGCAGCATCGGTTTCCTTGGCAGCTCTTCAAACTGAGGTTACCCTGTTTGGTTGTGTTTTTTCCCTGTTTGGTTGTGTTGACTCGGACTGTGTTTTGACTACATTTTTTTTCTATCTTCTGCCTTGTGCCTTTTGGAATAGCTTGACTACATTTGTTACTGTGGTGTGTTGATTCTGGACTGGGTTTGTGAAATAGCTTGTGAAATTGGATTATTTGACACCCCCCCCCCCCTCAACATGAAGAGGGGAGTGTGATGGGGCAATCCATTGATTTGTGTCCAAGAACCCGTCATTCTCCCAAGTGTGTTCCTGTTGCACCTGGTCTATGATTAGGAAGAGAGCTCTGAGTGATTGTGTAAGTGGGAATGTTGTGAAGCATTGTCCCCCGCACTTTAATCAAGGACGATCCACTGAGTGGTATCTAAGTCCTTGTGGTCTTCCCCAAGATGTTGTGTTGCCTGATTAGGCATTAGTGGTGTAAGAATTTTGAATCTATTGTGTAACTCCAGCTGAGCAGAAGTATTCTGAGGAGACTGCCTGGTCCTGTGTCTCTTTCTAAGGGCGACATTCTTCCAGGCCTGAGGGTTATCCACAATTGACGTGATCTCCCCATAAGACGTGATCTACCCTATCATGTCCGTGTTGCTGTAATGTGGGCTGTGTATCTAGATCAGCATGTTGTGACATGCCCAAGAAGAGCTCGAGTTCCTTAATGTCCTTAAGGATCTTAATACGGTCCTCAAATTGTCGGATCCTCTGTTCCATGAGAGCAATCTGTTTGCACTTGGTGCAGATGTAGTTGTCTAGTTGTTGTGTGAAGAAACTAAACATTCCGCAGTTTGTGCATGTGATGGGAATGTTTTTCTTTTGTTCCATCTCCTGGTGAGTGAGGCTACCAAGCCAGGATCCTCATAGTGTTAGTTAAGATGTGTGCACGTTATGTGCAGACTACTAGCCACCTCTCCTTTGTGGATTTGTTTTGTAGTGTTTTGTTTTCTGTATATATTGTAAAGATGTGTGTTAGTGAAGGTGTGGCTTAGTGTTTGCCACTAGGCAAAAAAAGTAGTCAAAACACAGTCTGAGTCAAGTTAACTATGAGCACACACAACCTCACAGTTTGAAGAACTGCCAAGGAAGCTGATGCTGCTGTGATGTCGGCAGATCACAGGAACTAATGCCTCAGCCCCTCCCACTGATTATATGCCTCCTGGGTGGGCAGGGCTGCAACCAGAAGTCTTCTAGAGCTTGCCAGTAGGTTCCAAAGCACATTGCACCAGGTGTAGGAAGCACCATCAGGGTGAATTTCACAGATGGCCACTCAAAGAAACATGGTTACATGTAAACAATCCTTTAATTTGTGTATGTAATTGCATGATGTGAAATTAATTTTCCATACAGATCCCCTAAGAATAGAATAGAACCCTCAAAATAACAGTGTCTCAATGGAAGCAGAACTACTTAATACCTTCTTTGCCTCGGTCTTCTCACAAAAAGAAAGTCATCTTCAACCTCAGCAAGATGGAGTGGGTGAGGGATTAGAGGACATCCAACCCCAAATTGGGAAACAAGTCGTCCAGGAATACCTGGCTGCTCTAAATGAGTTCAAGTCCCCAGGGCCAGATCAACTACACCCAAGAGTATTGAAGGAACTAGCGGAAGTCATTTTCCGGAACCATTGGCAACCATCTTTGAGAGTTCTTGGAGAACGGGAGAAGTTCCAGCAGATTGGAGGAGGGCCAATGTGGTCCCAATCTTCAAGAAGGGAAAAAAGGATGACCCAAACAACTACCGTCCGGTCAGCCTCACGTCGATACCAGGCAAGATTCTGGAAAAGATTGTTAAGGAAGCGGTCTGCAAACACTTAGAAACAAATGCAGTCATCGCTAATAGTCAACATGGATTTATCAAAAACAAGTCATGCCAGACTAATCTGATCTCTTTCTTCGATAGAGTTACAAGCTGGGTAGATGCGGGGAATGCCGTGGTTGTAGCGTACCTGGATTTCAGTAAGGCCTTCTAGCAAGGAAACTAGTCCAATGTGGGCTAGGCAAAACTACGGTGAGGTGGATCTGTAATTGGTTAAATGGACGAACCCAGAGAGTGCTCACTAATGCTTCCTCTTCATCTTGGAAAGAAGTGACGAGCGGAGTGCCGCAGGGTTCCGTCCTGGGCCCGGTCCTGTTCAACATCTTTATTAATGACTTAGATGAAGGGTTAGAGGCAGGATCATCAAGTTTGCAGACGACACCAAATTGGGAGGGATAGCCAATACTCCAGAGGACAGGAGCAGGATTCAAAACGATCTTGACAGATTAGAGAGATGGGCCAAAACTAACAAAATGAAGTTCAACAGTGACAAATGCAAGATACTCCACTTTGGCAGGAAAAACGAAATGCAAAGATACAGAATGGGGGATGCCTGGCTCGAGAGCAGTACGTGTGAAAAAGATCTTGGAGTCCTCGTGGACAACAAGTTAAACATGAGCCAACAATTTGATGTGGCGGCAAAAAAAGCCAATGGGATTTTGGCCTGCATCAATAGGAGCATAGTGTCTAGATCTAGGGAAGTAATGCTACCCCTCTATTCTGCTTTGGTTAGACCACACCTGGAATATTGTGTCCAATTCTGGGCATCACAATTCAAGAGAGATATTGACAAGCTGGAATGTGTCCAGAGGAGGGCGACTAAAATGATCAAGGGTCTGGAGAACAAGCCCTATGAGGAGCGGCTTAAGGAGCTGGGCATGTTTAGCCTGAAGAAGAAAGGCTGAGAGGAGATATGATAGCCATGTATAAATATGAGAGGAAGCCACAGGGAGGAGGGAGCAAGCTTGTTTTCTGCTTCCCTGGAGACTAGGACGCGGAACAATGGCTTCAAACTACAAGAGAGGAGATTCCATCTGAACATGAGGAAGAACTTCCTGACTGTGAGAGCCGTTCTGCAGTGGAACTCTCTGCCCCTGAGCGTGGTGGAGGCTCCTTCTTTGGAAGCTTTTAAACAGAGGCTGGATGGCCATCTGTCAGGGGTGATTTGAATGCAATATTCCTGCTTCTTGGCAGGGGGTTGGACTGGATGGCCCATGAGGTCTCTTCCAACTCTTTGATTCTATGATTCTAAGTGTTTCTAGACTGCTTAGAATTTTTTTTATAAAGAAACAAATTATTCTGACCATGTTGAAAAAGATACTTCTATTACTGTAAAGTTCATATTTGTCTCCATGTTTGACAAAGCTTGGCAGTTATTCAAACAAGGAGAGCTATTGTAGTGTAGCGGCTAAATGCCGATTTCCAATTTTCCGGTTCGTAGAGATCGTAGAGAAATGGAAAAGACCGAGACAGCTTTCAGATTTTCCAGATTTATTTCTCTTCCTAGGGAGAGGGTGCCCAACCTTAAAGACGGCTGGAAAGCACACCCTCTGGCCCAAATCACCAGGTTTTTATAGAGCGACTATCCAATCTCCACATCATATGTTCCTCCTGACACGTACACACTACATAATCATTAACATCATCTTATTGGCAGAATACCAGATCCCAAATATTTGCTTTTTCCCCTTTGCCTTTTGTCCTACACCAAGAATGACATGAGCTGATTTCCTAATCCTAAAAGCAGATCCCAACTATCCTTTAATTATACTTATTTCCAAATAAGTTCTCTATTTTCTATTCTCTTATTGACTCTTATTAATTACTTTTAAATCTTAATTCACTAGATTTGATTCTATTCTGAAATGATTCTATTATAAACTGCATCTAGACTTTTGCCTGTTATTTCTAGTAACCATAAGGTGTCGCTCCCTGACCTATAGATGTTCTAGCCCATTGTTCTTTTGACATTTACTTAATTAGGGGGTTGTTCCTGTGTTTTTGCCAAGAACAGTTCCTTCACTCCTGTGACCTTAATTTACTATTATTTCAAATGACATGTTCCATTTAATATTTAACTTTCTTGGTTTTGACCTATGAAGCTTTATCTACTTTCATCTTCTGGAACAAACTTCTCCTAAAACTCTACCTATAAATCTCTTCTACCAATGCTTCAGAAATAAGCTTCCAATTTTAAACTATATTTATATTTTTATAATCATTATTTTTTGATATTTCTCCACCTGACCGCCACAATCCCTAATCCTTTTTGTGACGAAGAATACTCGGAGTCACATCCTAAATTATATCGCCTTCTCTTCCCTGGTTAATCTCTGCATCTCTTCCAGTTCCATACTCATGATAGTTTGCAATTGTTTTCCCTGTCTGACA